CTGGTTACGCCATGTGACACAAAGAGTAGACCAGTGTAACATGTGGCGATTTCTTTGGTTGCGCAATGTGAGACAAAAAGTACACCAGTGTAACATGTCACGATTTGTATCTGGCTGGTTACGCTATGTGAGACAAAGAGTAGTCCAGTGTAACATGTGACGATTTGTATCTGGATGGTTACGCTGTGTGACACAAACAGTAGACCAGTGTAACATGTGACGATTTGTATCTGGCTGGTTACGCTATGTGGGACAAAGAGTAGACCAGTGTAACATGTGACGATTTGTATCTGGTTGGTTACGCTATGTAACACAAAGAGTAGACCAGTGTAACATGTGACGATTTGTATCTGGCTGGTTACGCTATGTGACACAAAAAGTAGACAAGTGTAACATGTGACGATTTGTATCTGGTTAGTTATGCTATGTGGTACAAAGAGTAGACCAGTGTAACATGTGACGATTTCTTTCTGTCTGGTTACGCTATGTGATACAGAGAGTAGACCAGTGTAACATGTTACGATTTCTTTCTGTCTGGTTATGCTATGTGACACAAAATGTAAAGCAGTGTAACACGTGGCGATAAGTTACTGGCTGGTTACGCCACGTATCTGAAAGGTTGGGGGATCTGTTAATACCTGGATACGCCATGCAGCACTAAAGCTAAGGCATTACATTACTTCACATTGCAATAGAATACACGTAATCATCCATACTTTTAATTGTTACCAATGGCCCGTACTTAGTACCGTAACTTACGTGGGAAAGCCTTGCACAGTCGCGATACACAATACAAATGATAAAATATGTGTTTACGATATGTATAAAATGCTCATAATACATTTTATATGTTCAAAGCTTGCAGACTAACATATTGTGAAACACGCATGCGCGCTGCTATTAACGAAATTTAGCTGTCCCTAGCTCAGATGGAAAAACTCGATCACCTTAATAAGTGATTATAAAATGGAGTAAAGTTAAATATAGAAATAAAAGTACAAAGGTTATACAAAAGTACACCAGGTTGTTTATATTTATTGAGGTTCATTATATAATGTAAATACATTGGTTACAAATTCCTGTTAAAAGTATCTCGCATGACGTATTTTCTTTATTATCGATGTCATTGTGAAGAAAATATGAATATAATTAAATAAAAATAAGGTGTTTGTATATTTAAGCGTATATATAATTAACACAGTATATACTTTGCTTGTGGGTGTATTATACATAGAGGTTAACAGTTCATTATTCCCCCCCCCCCCCCCCCCCCCCCCCCGTGCATGTCCCTACCAGTGAGACAAAGGTGTGTGAATCTGAAATTGACACGCCAGCAAACTGTATTCTGCTTTATTTTTCCAAGCAGAAATATTCTCGGCACTTGGTCTGGCCAATTTAAGAGACCGTTCATAATTTTTC